TTCCATTCAACAGTTCATACACATTTTATTTCATGACACTGATTGTAATCCCTGTAATGTAATAGTTGTCTTGCTCCCTGGGTTACCTTTTCCCTGTGTCTTTTCTATGCATTCCTGCTGTCTGAGTTATCTCCCTGCGCAAATGATGGACTCTGATCTCCCACGGTTGATTGTTCTAAGGCTTACATCTACCTGGTGTAATTATTCTATACAGACATTTTAAAATGGTGATCCCTTCCACCTCTGTACACTGAGTTTTCTTTCCTCATACCCATGAAAGTATTTACTTTTTTTCAGTTTTATAAAATCTTGATGCTATCAACACGAACTGGTTCTTATCTTTACCTTCACTAGCATAAATAGATGAACTGGTGCCCTTGATATGATCTCCAGTGAGGTTTCCCAAGATTAAAATGCCATACTTGTGATTATCTTCATAGCTGGTGGTGGTTGATAAGAGTTTGGGATATTTGACCCAAACTCATCATTAATTTTAATGTATTTGATGGCTTTGATGAAGTGGATGGACAAAATCTAGTTTATTATATTTTAGGATGGATTCACCAGTGCCTTAGATTGACCTAGTTAGTAGCTGCTCAACACAAAACCAGCTGCTGTTGAGTCAATTCCAACTTGTTGCGACCCTATGTGTGTCATAGTAGAACTACTTGTAGGGTATTCAGTGGCTGAATTTTCAGAAGTAGATCACCATGCCTTTCTTCTGAGGTTCCTTTGTGGACTTGAACTTTGAGCCTTTCAGTTAGTAGCTGAGCATGTTAATCATTTGCACCACCAAGGGATCTGTGGCAATAATAGGGTAATATAAAATGTGCTTTAAGAAACAGCTTAATTACTGCCTTGATCATAAAATTGTAGCCTCCAAGCATAAAGATGTATTTCAGGTTATGTATTACTGATGTTAATTTGAAGCTATAAAACAATGGGCTAGTCTTTATAGCTACTTTTATTATACTAAGCAAGCATTTATGTAGCACTTACTCTCTGTGTCAGAAATCCTTGGGTGACACAGTCGGTTTGGTTCCCTGGCTGCTAACCAAAAAGTTAGAGGTTTGGACCTAACCAAGAGGAACTTCAGGAGACAGGTGTGGCAGGAGACAGGTGTGGCAATTTGCTTCAGAAAGATCATAGCCATGAAAACTCTATGGAGCATTGTACTCTGCACACATGGGGTCTCCATGCTTTGGAGTTAACTTGATGGCCACTACTAGTACTCTGTGTGCCAAGCATCCTTTTCTTTGTAAATATTAAGCCATTTAATACTTTCAACAACCCAATAGGTTGTTATTAGTTGCAGTTGAGTTGATTTCGACTCATAGCAACCCCACGTGTGCAAAGTAGACTGCTCCATAGGATTTTCAATGGCTGATTTTTTTTGGAAGCAGATCACTAGGCCTGCCTCCCAAGGCACCTCTAAGTGGGTTTGAACTGCCAACCTTTTGACTAGTCATAGAATGCTTAATTGTTTGCGCCACCCAAGGGCTGTGCTTTCTGGGTAGATGTTCCATTATCACCAGTTCGCAGATGAGAATATTGAGGACTTTAACTAACTTGCCCCAAGTGACACAGCTACTGAGTGACACAGCTGGGATTTGAACCCAGAGTCTGGCCCCAGAGCTCATGGGCTTCACCACTGTGCTCTACTGCTGCTTGAGTGCCTGCTGTTTGTCAGGCACTTTACAGATGAAAAATACTCAAACCCCACTGGTCCACTTCAAAACTCAGACCTTTCTCCAGGTCCCATTTACTCATCAGGAACATGGTCTGTGGACCAATGATCCGATGGCAATGTCCTGAGCTGTTCTTCATGTATTTCAAACTGAGGCAGGACAAGGTGGGGTAAAGCCCTTCATTTGCTCATGAGAGGGGAGTGATGTCAGAATAGGGGCATTTCTATAAAGCATTTCATGTTGACCTCTCTAGACAGTATTGTTAATTGTTCATAAATGTTTGCAAATAAGACACTCAGAGCTTTCTTTTCATTACCTCTATCCTTTGCCATTTTTAATTGCCTTTGTTGTTGTTGTTGTTGTTGTTATGTGCCGTCGAGTCAGCCCTGACTCATAGCGACCCCTCCTTGGGTTTCCGAGGCAGTATCACTACGGAAGTAGGATTGCCCAACCTTCCTTCTGAGGAGTGGCTGGTGGGTTTGAACCGCCAGCCTTCTGGTTAGCAGTCAAGTGCCTTAGCCACTATGCTACCAGAGTTACCCCCAATTCATGGCAACCCCAAACACATTGGGTCATCCCCTTATCCATTGCCCATCGAGCAGTTGTGATCCATTTCTTTTTAAATTTTATTGATTTTGTTGATGTTAAGAAGATACACAGCAAAAACATACACCCATTCAGCACTTTTCCTTATGTACAGTGTACAGTGTCAATGAACCGTGGTCACACTCCCTTCCTGAATCGTTCCTCTAACATAAACTCACTGCCCTAAAGTTCTTATCTAATCTTTCGAATTGCTGCTGTCGCTTAGATCCTGTATAGATAGTTCTTAAAACAAGATAATGCTCAAGACAGACATTTTTTACTAGTAAAACTAAACTACTGTTTGATTTAAGAAGACTTCAGGGAATGCTTTTGGTTTAAGATTTAAAGATTATTTCAGGGTGATAGTTTCAGGGATCCATAGGATTTTCATTGGCTGATTTTCGGAAATAAATTGACAGGCCTTTCTTCCTTTTCCATCTTAGTCTGGAAGCTCCACTGAAACCTGCTCAGCATCATAGCGACATGCAAACTTCTACCCTTATAAACAATCAAAATGGTTAGCTCTGAATTTCTCTTTTTTGGATTCAGGGTTGTAGATAGGGTAGGTGGGTGGGTGCTAATGTGTTTCATGGACTTTTTCTACCTATGCATTTATTACAAACTGAGTTTCCACATGGCTTGTGTTAAAAAGTCTAATGTGACCTACATTTAGCATCAAATTCTGGACTGCCTGCTGATGGCAGGTGGCCACCCCCAGGTGCCTGTGGACATTCTGGAGAGGGAGTATCTGAAAGAACCCCTGCCACTCAGTACCTGGCTCTGAGCAAGGTGTTCCCTTTGCATCTTCTCACCAAATCTTCACTTAACAACAGTGTTGATGACCATGTGCATTTTCAGATGAAGATCTGAGATTTGGCGAGGTTCGGTCACTTGCTCCATCACTGCCCCAGTAAGAGGCACTGCCAGGATATGATCCCAGTCTTTGCCTCTTGCTCCCATCTTAACCTCCTTGCTGAACTTCGTGGGTCCATAGATTGCCTTGTGGTGGATGTTGTATGTTTTCATTCCATAGATTCTCCTTTTGTGAGATGTAACATAAGAGAGAAACCATAGCATTCTGGTAAAAACCTAAGTGTAATAGAACTCAGAGACCTGGGCTTGGGGGCAAGGAAGCCACTGAACAATGGGCACTCCACCTGCGGAATCCCCCTTAATGTGCCAGTTGTTGAGCCCATCCCTCCTTCACTTTTTTTCCTGTGAGGCTATCCTAGCCATCTTATTTAAAATTGCACCCTATTCCCCTCACCCACACGGGCACATCTGCATCACAGATGAGGTTGCAGGACTAGGTAAATGCTTTGCCAAAGGGGCAAGGTGGCCACATCTTCTAATCTCCTCTAACCCCACAAGAGGAAGACAGAATCACCATGGAAAGTCCATGGCCTATTCCTGCAAGGCCAGACATGCTGCCTCCCTCTAGCCCTTTCACCAACTGTTCCTCCCCCAGCACCCACCACCTCTTTGGTGGGTTCAATAATTTGCTGCAGTGCCACACAGAACTCACTTATGGTGTTTATTAGGGAAGTACCAGACTATAATTCAAGTTCAGAAATGCACTCAGTCTCTCGCAGCCAGCCATCTCACTCAGCAGCTGGCAGTCTCAGTGGTACATCACTCTCTCAGTAGTGTGTGTCTCTCACATCTCTCTTTCAGCAGTGCATGTCTCTTTCATCTCTCTCTCAGTACTGTGTGTCTCTCATGTCTCTCAGGAGTGCTGTTTCTCTCAGCAGCACCTTTCTCAGCCAGCAGTCAGAGAGATTCCTTCTGCCTCTAGGAGGGCTTCTTTTTAGGCTGGCAGAATGGCCAAACCAACCAATCCCAACATCAGAATTCTATATACTTGAGAGAGAGAGAACTTCCCAGAAGATTGCTTCATGCTACTCATCATTCACAACAGAAATACCCCACGTGGATAACTTTGACAATCAGAAGCTACTTACAGCAAATTGATTGATTGCTGTGAGTTGCTCACAGCAAATTCCACCATGACGTTTACAAAGAGTAATGGCTAGAAAAACCACACTATGTAATTCACTGCACCACATGCCTCTATGTTAAATTCAAAGATACAAGCTTGTTAAATATGAGTATTATTGTTAGCTGCCGTCAAGATGACTCTGGCTCATGGTAGCATTAGGTTTGCCCAGTCTTGTGTCATCCTCAAAATCACCAGCATGTTTCAGTCCATTATTGTGGCTATTATACCAATCCATTTCACATCTCCCTCACCCTCACTGGCCCTCTATTCACCACACATGATGGTCTCCTCTAACAATTGATCCCCCTTGATGATGTGCACAAAGCAAACAAGTTGGACAATGTCTTGTTGTGATCCATAACGCTTACATTGGCCAGTTTTCAGAAGTAGATTGCCAAACCCTTTATTCCTAGTATGTCTTAGTCTGGAAGCTCTGCTGAAATCTGTCCACCATGGGCAATCCTACTGGTGTCTGAAATATTGTGGCACAACTTCCAGCATCATAGCAACATACAAGCCACCACAGTATGACAGACTCACAGATAAGTAGTTGTGGACAAGAGGTGGATAAAAGAGGAAGTCTGAGGTAAGTGGGCAAAACTGCTGTTTGTTCTGGTGAGAGATAATGTTCACCTAGAAAGTTTCCTAGTTCTTTCTAGATTTATCATCTAAAAACCAACCAGTACAGAAGAACTACAGTCTTGTAATTCTTTCTTCTAGGTCATCTTGAAATTTCCAAATACCTAACATTACCTGATGCTGTTGATAAAATCAAGATGGCATTAAACTCAGTAAGTGGCTTATTACTACCTTCCTGGATTTATCTTGTTCCCTTACTCTTTCTGTTACTCTCCATTGTGTGTGTGTGTGTGTGTGTGTATTGGCCAGCATTTTTAAGAGCTATTTGTTTGCCATTGTTCAATGCATCCTGTAGGTTACAGGTGAGTGGAAAAGTAGTTAGAGGTGTAGCCAGCCAGCAGGTGTCCAAATGGGAGTCTGGGAAGCCATTCCTGCTGGGTGGATGGGGGCTGAGGGGCCTTCTCACCTTCTCCTGTTTTGAGGCAGGGACAAGGTGTAGGACAGGTAGACGCAGGTTGGTAGTAAGAGGGAATATGTTCCAAAGGAGAAGCATGTACAGGATACCATCACCCAACAGTGGAGGAGTGGTTTTGTTAGCTTACCTTCCTGATAAACTTTTGATAATAGGAACCCACCTTCTTTGGAGACAAATGCAGAGTTTCTTTGTCCCCATTTCCTTTTGTACCTGGAATAAATTTATTTAGCAAAAAACTCAAAGTTCATAGCAAAACTTTTCTAGATCCTAGACCTGGAAAATATACCTTTTGTTTTTTACCCCCTTATCTGTTACTGATATTTAGTTTTACTGGATCTTGTCTTAATTTCAAATCTACAGCACAGCCATGTATGGGAGTAAACGAGTTAACTTGCTACAAACCTTTCTCTGGGTGGGACAACATGTTCTTAGATGCTTTTGATACAGGCCAAACCCTTGGGCTTCTTTTTATGTCTCTGGTATGACCATTTAGATAAGAGATTGTATTTCATTTTCCCTTTTTATATCTACTACTCAGGTTTGGGGTTGTAATCTTTGGACTTTTGAAGGAGAGCATTAGTGAGTTATTAAGCAGAGGTTAACTGTGGGAGCCTGCATTTTGCTTATTCCTTATAATCTGCTTCCCTGGAGGTCACATTTAAAATTTTAAGCATTGAACTGCCTCAGCCCAGAGCACCTATTCACTTTGATTTCAGAGTCAGTGAGAAACAAGGGACAGCAACTCATGAGTGGGGAAAAGTTTAGCATGAGTTTGCTTTCAGGGTTGTTGTTGTTGTGTTATGTTCCATCGAGTCACCTCTGACTCATAGCGACCCCTCCTTGGGTTTCCAAGGCAGTATCACTATGAAAGTAGATTGCCCAATCTTCCTTCTGAGGAGTGGCTGGTGGGTTTGAACCGCCAGCCTTCTGGTTAGCAGTCAAGTGCCTTAGGCACTATGCCACCAGAGCTTGGAGGGTAGTGAGGGGCAAATTGTGAGCTCCCAGAGTGGGCCAGCCAATGAGCAATCTCAGAACATTGAAAGAAGAGGAAGAAATGTAGGAAGATGGGGTCCTAAGGGGCCTGTGTTTGGTGGAGTGGGGCAGGCCTTGAGAAGGGTAGACTTTGTGAAGGCAAGTTGCAAGCTAGCAGAGGAAGAGGAGAAAGGCATTCTACAAAGACAGACACCCACAGGTTGGAGCTGAGAATATACCGGTACAGCAGTATCTCCACGCTTCACCCAGAACTGCCACTTACAGGGGTGTTGCTACAGAAATCTACACTTTGCACAAAAGTACATGTGCTTGTTCACAATAGCCAAAAGGTAGAAACAGCCCAAATGTCCACCAGTGGATGAATAGATAAACAAAACGTGATACATCCATACCAATGGAGTATTACTCAACCATAAACAGAAATGAAGTCCTGCTACAGGTTATGACAAAAATGAACCTTGAGAACGAAGGGAAGGGGTGGCCCTAAGGAGGAAGTGGGAAGAATGGTGTTACAGTGTGGAGACTGCAGTATTGCAGTAAGTGTCACAAAACAAGGGAGCTCTGGTGGCGTAGTGCCTACGGGATTTTACTGCTCACCAGAGGGCTGGTGGTTCAAACCCACCAGCTACTCCTTGGAAGGAAGATTGGGCAATCTACTTCCATAGAGATACTGCCTCAGAAACCCAAAGAGGGGTCACTATGAGTCAAATTGACTCGACGGCAGTGAGTTTGGTTTAGGTTTTTTTTTGGTCACAAAACAAATGTGTTGATTGAACGTGACGGTTGATTGGAAAACCAGTTTGCTCTCTAAACTTTCATCCAAATCAAATTAAAAAAACAAAACAAAAATCATTGAAAGCATTATGCTGAGTGAAAAAAGCCAGACACAAAAGGACACATATCATATGATCCCATTTATATGAAATTTCTAGAATAGATAAATCCATAGAGGCAGGAAGTAGATTAGTGACAACAGTAACAGGGAATGACAAAAACTTCTTAATGGGTAAGAGATTTTACTTGGACTGATGGAAGTGTTTTAAAAATAGAGGTGATGATTGCATACTATTGTGAATGCACTAAATGCCAATGAATTGTTCACTTTGAAATGGTTATTTTTACGTTATGTGAGTTTCACCTGAATAAGAATAAAATGCATGTGCTGAGTAAAGATGTTTATTGCAGCAGAACTGGTAACAACTCCAACTTGTAAAGCAACAAAATGCCTGTTATTAAGAGAATGCAAAAGTTCCAAACCATCTCTGTAAGAGAAGAGGACATAGAACAGGCATTTGCAGAATAACATGGATAGGATGGTCCTGTAGGGAAATGTTTTAACATCTGTAACTCAGTTTCCTTGTCCCTGTGCCAGTATTAGGGGTCATGGTCAGGTCTCAAGGAAAACATTAGTACACAGGCTCAGCAGCAGGTGAGTGCCAAACACTGGCTATTATTACTCTCATTATAACTCTGAGATTGCTACTTCATAATTTTGTACATAGATAAGTTGATTCCAACTCATAGCAACTCCCACTGGGTTTCCAAGATTCCATAAATCTTTATGAAAGTAGATTGCCTCATCTTTTGTGGAATGACTGGTAGTGGGTTTGAACCACCCCAACCTTCTGGTTAGCAGTCAAATGCTTTAGGCACTGCGCTACCAGAGCTCCTTCAAGGAGAGGACAGGAGGATAAAAGGCATAGGATATTGGCTACATGGGTTCTTTTTTAAAAAATAATATTTTTTTTGTGTGTTTTTGGTGACTGTTTACAGAACAGTTTAGGTTCCTATTCAGCAATTTCTGTACAAGTTGTTCAGTGATATTGGTTACATTCTTCACAATGTGTGAACATTCTCATCATTTCCATTCTGGTTGTTCTTTCCATTAATCTAGTTTTCCTGCTCCTTTAGATTCTCATCTTTGTTTTAAAATAACTGTTGACCACTGGTCTCATATCAAACCTATTGCATACAATATGTGTCCTTTTATATCTTATTTCACTCAGCATGTTTCCAAGGTTCATCCATGTCATAGCATGTATCAGAACTTCAGTTCTCTTTGTAGCTGAATAATACTCCACCGTATGGATATACAAAGGAGCCCTGGTAGCACAATGGTTAAGTGCTCAGCTGCTAACTGAAAGGTTAGTTTGAACTCATTCATTGGTTTTGCAGAAGAAAGATCTGGCAATCTGCTTCTGTAAAGATTATAGCCAAGAAAACTATATGGGGCAATTCTACTCTGTCCCTAGGCTCACTATGAGTCAAAAGTCATCTTGAAGGCACCTACCAATAGCAACAAAATGGATATACCACATTTGGTTTATCCATTCATTTGTTGATGGACACACAGGTTGTTTCCACCCTTTGGCAGTTGTGACAATGCTACAGTGAACCATGATGTATGTGTTTGCATCCCTGCTTTCAATAACATTGTTTTTTCTTCAATTAAAAAAAATTTGAAAATCATAGTTAAATAAAAAAGGACAATTAATTAAATTTGGCTAGTTTTCATTCTACTGAATTGCAATGTTTTGACATAATTATGTTTTGACATAATTAGGTTAGCAGTCAAATGCCTTATGCACTATGCCACCAGAGCTCCTTGACATAATTATAGACACCCTAAAGAATCTGTAATACTTTCTCACTTTCTTGTCTGAATGTAATATGATATTATATATTAAATCCTTTAGGGTAATTAAGGGTTTTCTGGTATTTACCTTCTTTTCCATTGTTTAGGGGTCACCACCAGGTGCTGGACCTTACTATGAAAACCATGGATACCAGCCAGAGACCTTCTTTCCCCCGCAGCCCCCTGGGGCTCCCAATGCCTGCCCAGCGTACCCGGCCCAGTACTACCCATCCCCTGTGCCCCAGTACATCCCGAGGGTTGCGACGCATACTTCGACGCCCATCATCCGCCCACAACCCAAGTCCCCTTCGGGGACTGTGTGCACTTCAAGTAGGATGCTTTTTGTGTTAATTTCCTTTAATGAAGCCCAAATTTCCAGGTCCACTTTTTTCTAGTGCCTTTCTGCTCCCATCAGCTCTATTGTCCACTATCCTAGATCTATCTCGCTCTTCCTGTCCCCTGGACAAGCCTGTCTTAGAATACCTCTTCCCTCTCCCTCTGTTGGGTCAGAGCTGCTGGCTTTCAGGGGGTCTGGGCATCAAGTCTTGCCTCCTGCCTAGGTTAGCCTTTCACAGCCTCCAGTCTGCAAAGACCCCATCTTCAGTTAACTCTCCTGTACCAGCTCTTTCCTGCACCACCTGGTTTGGTCTTTGCAGACGGGCTTCTCTGTGTTTCTTGACTGCCTGGCTTATTGGTGCATCAGCTCCATATATCATGGTAAGCTCCCAAAGGCAGGAATAAACTATCTTACTTTCTTTGATATACAATTCCTTACATAAAACAAGCCATATTCAAGATGCTCCATAATTATTTGTTCAGCTTGTGAATGGCAGCATGATATATCTGTGACATTTTCACCTGCTTTTTAATGGTCCCTATAGACCAGGCCTAAGCAAGCCATGGTGAGCAGCTGAAGAATTGAAGTTTTCATCTCTTTCTTACCCTCACTCATCTCCTTTCTTTGTCATTCTGTTTTGGCTTGATTCTCTTTAGATCCCTCCCTCTTGCCTGTGCCTCCCTGCTTCTAATCAAGCCTAGCTAAGAACTGCACAGTTAAGCTAGTAAACTGCACAAGTATAACTAGTACAAGAATGGCTGTACCAATGAATTTTTATTGTTAATGCTTTTATTTTTGTTTTGTGAAATATGTATCCATATCTATATAGCTTATAGAATTAAAAACATAAATAGTGAATATCCATGTATCCACCACCACATAATCAATAATTAAAATGAACAATTACTAATTGGAGTCCTTGTATGCCTCTCTGCGGGACCTTTCCCACTGTTAGCCCATGTGTAACCTGTAAACCAGTTGCTGTTAGGTCCATTCCGACTCATGGTGAGCCCATGTGTGTCAGAAATAGAACTGTGCTCCATAGGGTTTTCAATGGCTGATTTTCTTGAAGGAGATCTCTAGGTCCTTCCTTTGAGGCATCTTTAAAATAAACAAAAACCAAGTCACTGTCCTTGAGTCGAATCCAACCCATAGCTACCTCTCCTTGGGTTTCCAAGGCAGTATCTCTATAGAAGTAGATTGCCCAGTCTTCCTTCTAAGAGTGGCTGGTGGGTTTGGACCACCAGCCTTCAGGTTAGCAATCAACCTCTGCTTTAGTTATCTCCAAAGAAACCAGGCTCACTGCCACCCATTCTGACTCGTAGCCACCCCTATTGGGTTTCTGAGGTGGTAAGTCTGTATGGAAATAGATTGCCCAATCTTTCTTCCATGGAGTGGCTGGTGGGTTTGAACCACCATCATTCTGGTCAGCAGTCAAATGCCTTAAGCACTGTACCACCAGAGCTTCAAGTACTGCTGTAACAAACCTACTGCAAGTGGGTAGCTTTAACAGAAATTTATTTTCTCACAGTTAGAGGGCTAGAAGTATGAATCCAGAACATTCACTCTTGGAGAAGGTTTTCTGTCTCTGTCAGCTCTGGGAGAAGATCCTTGTCTCTTTTCAGCTTCTGTCCCTCAGTTGCCACGTCATGTGATGTGGCATCAGTCTTCTACCATCTCTGCTTGCCTGCTTCTAATCCTAATGTGTTCTTTTATATCTCAAAAATGATTGGTTTGAGACATACCCTATATAGGTATGGTCTCATTAACATAACAAAAACCTATACTCAAATAGGGTGACATCCACAGGTTTAGGGATTAGGATTTACAACACATGTTCTTGGGAGACACAAGTTCATCCATAAAACTTCCAGCCTTTTAATTAGCAGCTGAGTGCAAAAGCATTAACCATCTACACCACCCAGGGGCTCCATCCCAGGGTAACAAGCACTACCTCTCCTATTACTGCTACATGTCTTCAGGCTCCCTCACCCTTCACAGGTGGCTCTTCAGTACTCCTCTTCTCACTCATCCTCTACTCTTTCATCCCTGAGTGTTCTGCCCTTTCATGATCTTCCTCAATCATCCCTCTCCTTGCCCTTATGTGGTACACTCTCCTTCTCTCTCTCATTTTCTCTCTGCTCCAGGAAATGCTTGTCTTCATGCTGATGTCTTTCTGATGTGGTGATTGGGTAGATGTTCCTCAATGGGGCAATTTTGACACTTGGGACATTTGTCAAGCACTGGAGATAGTTTTGTTGTTATGAATGTGGGGGTGGGGGGTAGGGCTACTGGTATGAATAGATATCAGGGAAGCTGATAACATCCTACCAGTCACAGGACAGGTTCCCACAACAGAGAACTATCAGTTTCAAATGCTAGTAGTACAAGGTTGAGAACCCGGCCCCGGCGGTTGTTGTTATGTGCTGTGTGGTCGGGTAGGACCTGACTCATAGTGACCTCTCCTTGGGTTTCCAAGGCAGTATCACTACGGAAGTAGATTGCCCCATCATCCTTCTGAGGAGTGGCTGGTGGGTTAGCAATCAAGTGCCTTAGGCACTATGCTATCTCAGCTCCCTGAGAACCCCTGGTTCAGTCCATTCGTGATTGGTGGTTGGAAAGAATCCAGGGTGAAGGGTAACTTTTATGCTTTTAGTTGCCTACCAAACAAAGAGGACCAAAACCAACACCCACTGCCATCGAGTAGATTCTGGCTCATAGTGACCCCATAGAGTTTCCAAGGCTATAAATCTGTCCGGAAGCAGACTGCTTTATCTTTTGCCTATGGTGCAGCTGGTGGGTTGAAACTGCCAACTCTTTGGTTAGCAGGAGTGTACCTTACCACAGTGCCATCAGAGCTCTTAAGAAAAAGGACAGAGGCCAAAAACTGAGGTTTGAAGTTAGCACCTTTAAAAGGTGGTGTTCACCCCAATATGGTCAAACCCGGGCCAGCAAAAGAGCTCTGGCCCACCTACCTGACATGTTCCCAATTATTCAGGGTAAAACTCTTGCTGAGGACACGTAGTTGGACATGAATATATAAATTCTTTATCAGTTACTGTTTTTTTTTTGTTTGTTTGTTTTTTAATGTGGTTTGGGTGAAAGCCTACAGAGCAAAATAGTTTTCCATTCAACAGTTTATACACACTCGTTTCATAATATTAGCTGCAATCCCCTCAATGTAACAGCACTCTTCACTCTACCTCTATGGGTTCCCTGTTTCCATTCACCCTTCTTTCCGGCTCCTCGCTGACTTCTGAGCTTTGTTTTGGGGCAAATGCTGCCCTTTTGGTCTTGTTTGGTTAGTTATTCTGTGGAATAGTTCCTCATAAGTGTTATTATTTACTTTTAGGCCTGTCTATTGTTTGCCTGAAAGGTGATCCCCAGGGGTGGATTCGGTTCTCAGTTTGAACGGTGTCTAATGGCCACAGCTTTGGGGCTTCAGTTACATTTTTTGATAGGGGAAGAATATGAGCTTACATGTACTATTTTTTGCATTATAAAACTGAGTCCTATAAACAAAAAGTAATTTAGTAATTTTATTGCACTTACTTTGAAATTGTTTTTTAGAACTTGTTATTGGCATGAACATTGTCCAGTCCTGCACTGGCTTCACAATTGTGGATGTTCTCGAGTTCATTCTTGTAGCCACTGTGTTTTAAGTGCCTTCCAGCCTTGGAGACACATTTCCAGTACTATATTGAACAATATTCTCTTGTGATTGAAAGAGTTTCTATTGGCTAAATTTTGATGGAAATCACTAGGCCTTTTTCCTAGTCTGTCTTAGTCTGGAAGTTCTGCTAAAACCTGACAATCATGGGTGACCCTGCTGGAGTTTGAAATACTGTTGGCATAGGTTCCAGAATCATAGTAACATACAAGCCATCACAGTATGACAAACTGATAGCTGAGTGGTAGATGACATAAGAAAAGTAAATGCTTTATGTCACATTTTGCCTGTATAAAGTATTTTATCAATTATTTAAATAGCACAAATGATTAGGCATTGAATCAAGAGTACAAGGAAATATTTTTGGACTGGATGGATCTATTTGCATTAGTAAAATTTATGGTGTTTCTTATTTGAATAGCAGTGCACACACATCCTATAGTTTAGTTTTTGGCAATCGAACATCAACAATCTTATACAAACAGAAGCTGTCGGGAGAAAGTGACAGCAGACTAAATTAATAGGAAGGAAGCTAAGTTAATAGTAAATTATAGCTCAATTCAACAATAGCAGCAGTTGCAAAGCAGGACCAACTCTAGTCTGTGCTGATCATGCACTGATTATAAAATACCTGCTCATGTTCACTAGAGATAACATTGGTCATTCCCATTGTGTTCATGCTGCTATCAGAGCTGTGCTGGTTGCCACAAACTCCATAATGTGAGGTTAAATATGTAATTTTATTAATGGGGCAGTGGTGGTTCAGGGGTAGAATTCTCACCTTCCATGCAGGAGACCCACACTCATTTTCTGGCCAGTGCACCCTCTGCTTACATATTGCTGTGATTGATGCTAAATAGTTGGACTTTCCAAACTAAGATGGATTAGGACAAAAAGGCCTGGTGAGCTTCTGAAAATCAGTCAGTGAAAACCCTGTGGATCACAGTGGTCCAAGCTGCATCCAATCATGGGGATGACGCAGGACCAGCCAGCATTGTTTTGCATTGTGTGTGGGGTCGCCGTGAGTTGAGGACTGACTTGATGGCAGCTAACAACAGCAACAATTTTATTAACTCTTTTTCTTTTTATGGTCTGAATTTTACTAACTCTTAATTCACCATTAAAGTTAGTATTTTATCTTAAAGAAAATGAAATACAGGGAAGTCACACAAAGGAAGAATTTGTCCTTGTTTAATGGACCAAAGAGGCCATTTGGAATTTCCCTGTGGGTAACCTAGGGAGTTCCACCCTGCCTGCCTCAAGGCATAATCATTGCGGAATGAGTTATGATAAAAATCAATGCCTGGGACATGGTTCATTAGCATGGTGGTTCTCAGAGCATGGTCCTCACATCAGTGGCATTGGCCTCACCTTTGAACTTGCTAGAAATGCAAATTCATGTCCTCTCACCTTCCAACTGCACAGAATCTCTAGTGATTGGGGCACAAGCTCCCCTGATGATTCTTAAGCCTGTAAAGCTTAAGAACTACCATAGGATGAGCAGAAGGTAGTTAACAGGAGTCAAGACAAAGCTTGGAGCCCTAAACAGATGAGCCAGCTTGTTCCATCAACTCCAGAAGCTGAACTTCTTCACCTGGCTGACTTCCTTAAGCAAGGTGTATCCAGCTGTATCAGGCTGCTAGTCCTTCTTTCCAACCTGGGTTTCCTTGTGTATGAACAGGGAATTGGAGAGCTATGTTTAAATGTTGTCCTATTCTCCTGCCCTCCTTTCTCCTCTGTCTCTAAACCTTTCTTCCAAGGAAAGCTCCCAGCAACTCTTGAGCCAGGGGCTGCACTCTTTGCAGCAGTCACTCAGGTGTGAGTTTGGGAGTTGCTGTCCTTCCTTGAGGAACTCTGGTGGTGTAGTGGTTAAGGCATTTGTCTCCTATGTGAGAGGTTGGTGGTTTGAACCCACCAGCCATTCCATGGGAGAAAGATGAGGCAGTCTGCTTCTATAAAGATTTACAGTTTTGGAAACCCTATGGGGGCTGTTCTACTCTGTCCAATAGGGTTGCTATGAGTCAGAATCAACTTGATGGTAGAGGGTTTTGGTCCTTCCTTTGCCTTTGGGTTGGTCAACTGCAGTATTACTGGGCCAGATGCCTGAGGGAAATGCTTTCTGTGAGTCTGGCATTGTCTTCCAAACCTCCATGTGGTTTTTGCCTTACATTCTCTGACCAATAATTGTGTGTCTGTTTAGATGAAAGAAAATTGGTGATCTTCAAATTCCTTTATACTCACTTCAGTGTTTATGTCCTCATACCCAAAGGTCTTTTCCAGCACTGTCTAATAGTACGTTTTGCGGTGATGCATATATTCTACATCTGCACTGTGTAATACAACCTTCCTTGGCCACATGTGATGATTAAGCACTTCAATGTGCATAGCTATTTAATTTCTTTGAACTTCAAAGGCCGCATGTGGCTAGTGGATGTTTGTATGGACTATTATAGGTACATACCATCCATTCACTTAGACAACCTTGAGTAAGACAATTTCTTTTTGGATAATTTATTCTCTTCTGCCAATTTATTCTGCCACTGAAATAGTGATGATAGCTTTGTCAGCATCCTTATTATTTTGTTTATGCTTCTGCTTTGGTGGTGGTATAGTGGTATACCACTATGGTATAGTGGTGGTATAGCTCCTAACTAAAAGTTTGGCAGTTTGAACTTCCCACAGCCATTGTGCAGGAGAAAGTTAAGGCAGTCTTCTTCCAATAAAGATTTACAACCTTGGAAACCATGGAGCAGTTTTACTCTGTCCCAAAAAGTGTTGCTGGGAGTCGGAATCAGCTTGATAGCAGTGGGTTTTTATTTTTAATAATTACCTATTTGAGGTCCTTTTCCCCTGTTAACCAATATTTTTTTCAGTAATTCTTTATTGGACTATTTTAGGACCCTTTTTATTGTACCATACTGTTTTTTTTTTAAGGAACTTAACTTCAGTGTACTTCACTTTATATCATGGCTTCCTGCCTTTGATTCCCCCAAAACACAAAGTTCAGTGCTATAGAAAAAGTAAGACCTCCTAGAATAAGTTTTAAAATTTGGAAGTCAGATGTCAGATTTTTAAGTGCTTAAAAAATTAGTATTTCTTCACATTGTATGCTATAACTATAGTGGATGAAATCTGAGAGCATGACTTCTGAAAATCCTGCCACTGAGTTTTATTTTCTCCCCTCTTCCTCCAGAAACCAAGAAAGCCCTCTGTGTCACCTTTGCGCTAGGGGCCATCCTTGCTGCTGGGGTGCTGGCCGCCGTCCTGGTCTGGAAGTTCTGTAAGTGTGGGGGGAGCAGGACTCTAGGTTTGTGGGGGCTGGGTCTCACAGTCACATCCTAGTGAGGTGCCAGTCTTCTGACCTTCCAAATGACCCTGCTCTTGGAGCTGAGGAGACCTGCATCCACAGCCTTTCCGGAAGTTTCTGTCTTACAGAAGAGTTCTAGTTGTGGTGTTGCATAAATGACCATTCTAGGAAGCAGCCAATCTTGTATCCAGATGGTTCTATTTCATTTGCATGATTCCTCCTAGACTGGGTTGTCAGAATCCCACATAGTAGAAGAAGGGTTCAGTATATCCCCAGTGCTGAGGAGTCTCTGTGTGGTGCAAATGGTTAAGTATCTGGCTACTAACCAAAAGAATGGAGGTTCAGGTCCAACTAGACGTGCCTCAGAAGAAAGGCCTGGCAATCTGCTTCTGAAACATTACAGCCTTAAAAACCTATGGAGTACAGTTTTACTCTGCACACATGGGTTTGCCATGAGTTGGAATTGACTGGATGGCAACTGGTTTGGTTTGATTGTGGTGGAGAACTAGATGCCACCCTGCACATGTGAGCACAGGTTCCCCCACCTTGAGGGCACACCGAGTAACCTGTACCTTAATGTAAAGCCACAGCTACACCCTAGTGGGCTAGGGTGCATCACTTCCCTTCACCCTCATATCCTGCTTGAACAACCCTGCTTTAATAGTACCTGCAGCCCATGCCTTTACTTCAGCCCTGGGCAGTTCAGATCACTGAAGTCACTTGTGTGCAGCAGACAGATGTGAGTGCTGCCAAACCAAAGTCTAAGGACATCCTACTCATTGCCTCCACTCCTAAGTCCTCTTTTGTGTGTTGGTGTCAAGGACACATCCCCTCCCTACTAAAGAAAAGAGAAAAATATTCCTTGTTGTTAACTAAACTCACTGCTGTCAAGTTGGATCCGACTCATAATGACCCCTCCTTGGGTTTCTGAGGCAGTATCACTATGGAAGTAGATTGTCCAACCTTCCTCCTGAGGAGTGGCTGGTGGGTTTGAACCACCAGCCTTCTGGTTAGCAGTCAAATGCCTTAGGCACTACTCCACCAGAGCTCCCTGTTGTTAACTGGCACTTGGAAAATGTATGACATCCTTCCTTTGTGAGTGCTATGGTGCTGTCTTTATTCCCTCTTGTGACCTGGGTCTTAGACAGTGGACAAGATCAATCCTTGGTGGGTACTGTAGGCTGTCTTTGCTTCTTGACGTGATGGCACCTTCCTCCTGTCTCCCCCTCCAGTGGACAGCAAGTGCTCTGTCTCAGGAATAGAGTGTGGCTCCTCTGGAACCTGTATCAGCCCCTCACACTGGTGTGATGGCATCTCACACTGCCCCAGCGGGGAGGACGAGAACCGCTGCGGTGAGTAGCCAGGCTCATGCTCTGCCCAGGGTGTCATAGCAGCAACGGCGGGGCACCAAGCGATGCTGGGCACCAGGCCTGACTCTAGCACATCAAGACATTACATCATGTCATCCTCAACCTTGAAGCTGATCCTTGGGTCAGTCACAGATTAGGAAATGAGCTCAGAAGAGGTGGGAGGAAGACCACAGGACCAGCCTGCACTATGTCACCCGAATGGGTATGCTTTTAATTGCCACAGTATGTTGCCTCATGGCAATTAAAACAAAGACACATTTTAAAATTCCAAGTTGGGAGTACATTGTGTTGTTTTCATAACATACTGCCTTTAAATTTTTATCTGATTGTCACAGAGAGGGCACTTTTGTTTACTTACTGATTGTTAAATTTTCAAGGTGATTTCAAGGGCAATAAAGAGATAGTTTAACCCTATGGAGCAGTTCTACTCTGAACACTTGGGGTTGTCATGAGTTGGAATTGACTACAACTAACAACAGCAACAAAGTGGCAGTAATGGAGGAATAAAGGTTGAGGTTAAGAGGTGTGCTATGATACCCACATGAGAATGGGAAGCCCGCTGCATCCTTCCATGGGAGCTGATGTCTGCTGACACAGTCTGACACACGTGTCACAGTCTCCCGAGCACTGGTTCTCTGTTCTGAGAGTGAGGGGAGGGGAGGGCTGAAGGAAACAGTCACTTTATCACTAGAGTTCACTGTCTCTGACAGTTGGTATGGAGGTGGCCTATTTTTTGTAAAAGACTGTCTCTCTTAATTTTTCCCTCCTTCTCTAGCATTGGTTTTGAGTTTAGCACTTAATGCCTTTTAGTAGTTTCCTAGGGCTGCCATGAGAAAGTGCTTCAGGATAGGTAACTTAAAAAACTCAAAATACCAAACTCACTGCCATCAAGTCGGTTCTGACTCATAGTGACCCTTCCTTGGGGTCCGAGGCAGTATCTCTATGGAAGTAGATTGCCCAGTCTTCTTTCTGAGGAGTGGCTGGTGGGTTTGAACTGCCAGTCTTCTGGTTAGCAGTCATATGATTTTGGCACTATGCCACCAGAGTTCCCAGGTAACTTAAAACATCAGAAATGTTTTGTTTCACCATTGTAGGGGACAGAAGTTCAAAATCAGGGTGTTGGCAGGATTGGTTTCTTCTAGAGGCTCTGGGAGAGAATCTGTTCTGTACCTCTCTCCTAGCTTTTGGTGGCTGCTGGCAATCCTTGGCTTTTAGCCACATCACTCTGATCTACTGTGTTTACATGGCCTTCTCCACTGTCTGTGTCTCTTCTCCATTTTTGTAAGGACATCACTCATACAGGATTAGGACCTACCACCTTAGTTTACCTTAACTGATAACATCTTCAGAGACCCTATTTCCACCCAAGGTGACAGTCACAGGTACTAGGAGTTAGGGCTTCAGCATATCTTTTTTAGGGACACAACTCAGTCCCTAGAGATACCTAACCAGGATATCACTATTCCGGACAATGGGCAGGCATATGCTTACATGTTTACACTGCACTGTTTTTGTTTTTAATGGAAATTTCATCAGACATGTCTGAGACAGATTTCTCCCTTCTCCAATGAGTTTAGTCCTAACCCTTCAGGATGGTATTTCAAAACTACAAACAGGCCAGGGAGGTGGCTGAGAATGTTAGGAAATGACAATGTTCTTTCCTTCAGGTAACCATCCCTTTCTTGCAGGGCCATCCTTGGTGAGGATGGTTTTCCTGTTATGTTCTCACTTCCAGAATTACAGCCATATATATAAGGGATGCAGTTGGCTCTGACTGGGAGGATTTCACAGTGAGGCTGATGGACCCCTGGGCACCTGGCCTCTGTGCCAGCTGCATATTGATGTGTATTCTTCGACCTGCTGCCCTTGCTCCTAGTCTCAGCCAGCCCTACACCATGACCTTGATGCTTCCTAGGAGAACACGAACATTTGAAAACAACACATTCACTGTTTAAACAATGCTGCTTTATTTTATAGATAATATATTTTATCACCATTTTCTCAAATGAAATAGGGAGTTTTTGACATTGGGTAGTGTGTGGTTAAGATAACATGTGAAGTGGCTTTTGATATTCTTCTGAGTGTGTGTGTGTGTGTGAGAGAGAGAGAGATTGAGAGAGAGAGAATAAACTCCAGCAAGGGATTTTGACAAATTCCATCTGTTACCTGCAGAGTCCCTCACTTCTTAATATTTAAATTGTATTTACTTAAATACAGTAGCACATAATACATTCAAATGGGTAAAAATTCATGAGGTACGAAAGGGTGTTGAGTGAAAAATTCTTCTCACTCCCTTCATATGCATACACACACCCCTGTTCACTAGCCAATCACAGTTCTTTCTCAGAGGTAACTAACCTAAGTTTCTTCTTTATCCTTCCCAAGAGTTTTTACTAAAAAAAGCAAATATGTATGTACATTCTTAATCCCCCCTTTTCACAGTGGTTACCATCACACAGCACTCGCTGGGACCCTGAAACTCAACTTCCCTTTGGGAACTAAGCTCCCCTCCCCCTTGCCACCACTGCAGTTAGTGTGTTGTTAGTTTATGGAGGCACCACCATTCTACATTCCACCTATCTCTTCTTGATGGACGTTTACTTCTTCCCAAATGTAAGCACATCTGTAGGAAAAATTCCCAGAAGTGCAACTAACTGCTGGGACAAAGGGTTTGTGTATTTTTAATTTGATAAACCCTTCTCTATCCGATATTATCTAATTCCACATTGATTACTCATGGAAAACAAAATAGGTGACGATGACATTGAGTGTATGTGTGTTCTATATTAGATCAGAAAATACATGTAGTGTGTTTTTATTTGTCTACATTGTACAGTGGAAATTATTTTCAATGGAATGTGCATCTTCTGATAATAAAGAACATCGCCTGTCCTATGGAAAACATAGCTTTTCTTTCTAAAGGTGCATTAAATATATATGCATACATACTATCCTAGAGTTAAACTCTCAAACTCTGTTAAAGTGAAATAAACAGATATACTAAAAGCATAAGAAACATTTGAATGGGGAGACATTAGTCCACATAAAGTAATGGCCAATAACTTCAAGGGACGTATGTTTACCAGGGTCAGATACAGGATGAAAACCAGGAATTAGGTTACAATATTCTGATTGCAAGTTGCAAGATCAGGAGGCAGGAAAATGTGTGTGTGTGTGTGTGTGTGTGTGTGTGGCTTTACAGTGATTAGTTGGAAACACAAATGTGGGCTATTTGGATTGGTTAGTTTGAATACCTGACTAAAAGGTTACAAGGAAGTTACAAAGTAATTATCTTAAACATTTCTGGAGGGGGGATGGCGGGAGGGGGGGAGACTGCAAGAGATATTGTGTCACAATGCCCCCTTAAAAGTTTCTTACATGCTTAAGTCTACCTGGGAGCTCTGGTGGCCCAGTGCCTAAGGCATTATTTGACTGCTAACCAGAAGGCTGGAGGTTCAAACCCACCAGCCACTCCTCAGAAGGCAGGTTGGGCAATCTACTTCTGCCTCAGAAACCCAAGGAGAGGTCACTATGAGTTGGATCTGACTTCATAGCAATGGTTGTGTTGCTTTTAAGTCTGCCTAAGGGTTTGAAGGTTGCAGGGGAAATCCTTTGAAATGTATTTAAGTCTGCTGGTGTTAGGACCTACCCATAGCTCAAAAAGAAAAGTTTCTTAGTCACAGGCTTTTAAAACTCTGTAGGCAGGGCACTGATTGCTAAAGAAGTTAGCAGGAATCAAGATGGAGTCTGAACTCAGACTCAGACTAGCCATTTTACTGTGGTCAAGCACTTTAATTTTAGGGCTCCTGCAGATAGCTTCCTGGATAATGCAGAAGCAAGAACTTAAAACAAAATGAGATGGGCCTGCTCCTAGGCCAGTCACCTTAAACATGCCAGGGCTTCTGTTCTGAAGCTCTTCCATACACATACATTAGTTAACTCTTTCTACTCCTATTGTGATGTTTTCTGAGTCTTTCTCAAAATTTCAGAGGAAAAACTAAATTATTGCTTGAGACTGCTTCCAACTCTCCATCAGCTCTGTTGTCCTAGTTGCATTTGGATGCAAATAGTTGGAAGGGGAAAAAAAATCCCTAAAATTAGCCATAAAGCAAGAAAGAAATATCTCCCTTATTTTCTCTCCAATGCCATAGAATCAAAAATTTTATTTTTGATTTTGGACGTATGTTTAATTCCAGTTTGTTTGTTTGTTTGTTTTTAATGAATAGAATTAGTGTTATAGCAGCACAAGTACAGAGAATCCTTATAATTCCCTTTTCCCCCTGCACACAGTTTCCCCTCTTACCATCTTTCATTCCTGTGCTTGTTACAACTGAACACATTTCAGTACATTATTATTAAGTAAAGTCCATAGTTTAAATTAGGGTTCACACATTATCTAGTCTTATGGGTTTTCACAAAAGCATGATGTCATGTACCCATATCACAGTATCATGCTGAATAGTTTCATTGCCTTAAAAATGTCCTGTGCTCCCCCTGTTCATCCTATCCCTCTCCCCAACCCCTGGCAATCATTGATCTTTTCACTGTCTTTGTACTTTTCCCTTTTCCAGAATTATCTTTCTGAGACCGGCCTCTCTCACTCAACAGTATGCATTTAAGTTTCCTTCATATCTTTGTGGCTTGAGCTTATTTATTTTTATCACTGGGTAATATTCCATTGTATGGATGTACCACAGTGTGTTTCCATTTCCAAGAACATGGCTAACTCACACGGCATGTAGATTTTCTTATGGAAATCATCTGACACAAGTCTGGTTGTTTCAGTGTTGGAAGACACTTGAGTCCAGAGCTGCCAGGTGATTATTTTCAGGCCATCCTGTAAGCCATGGGCTAAGTCTACTAGTGCTGCTATAATAAAAAATACCCTATGGGTTGTTGTTGTTGTTGTTAAGTGCCGTCGAGTCGTTTCCGACTCATAGCG